CTAGGCTGGAGTGCAGTGACACAGTCATGGCCACCACAGCCTTGACCTGCTGGTCTCAGGTGATCCTTCCACCTCAGCCTTTCAAGTAGCTGGAACCACAGGCAGGAGCCACCATGCCCAGCTAATTTTTTAAAATTTATTATAGAGATGAGGTCTCACCAAGTTGCCCAGGCTGGTCTCGAACTCCGGGACTCAAGCAATCCTCTCGCCTCGGCCTCCCAAAGTACTGGGATTACAGGTGTGAGCCACTGTACCCAGCTGTGGTTTTTGTTTTTAACGTTTTCTTCTCTGTGAATAGTCTGAATGGTCTGTTGATTCCAATTTGCATTCTTCTGTTATTTGTTTTGCTCTCTAGCATTTGTGTTATGTGTTTTTTTCCTGGTGACCTATGTTGTCTTATAATGTCCAAGAGGAAGAAACTAAACATCAGATTGAGGCTGGGCTCGGTGGCTCAGCCTGTAATCCCAGGAGGCCGAGGGGAGTGTATTGCCTGAGCCTACGGGTTTGAGACCAGTCAGGGCAACTTGGTGAGACCTCATCTCTACAATAAATAAAAAAATTAACCAGGCGTAGTGGCTTGTGCCTGTGGTCCCAGCTACTAGGAAGGCTGAGGCAGAAGGATAGCCTAAACCCAGCAGGTCGAGGCTGCGGTGGCTGTGAGCATACCACTGCACTGTAGCAGGAAGACAGATCGTGACACCGAGACTATTATGGAAGTGGCACTTTATTATGCCAGCTGACTCGGGGGCTCCACGGGCTAATGCTTTCAGGTCAAGCCCCTCAGAACGGGAGAAGCAGGGCCTTATACCTTCATTTAGGTAAGGGAGGGGGTCATGTTGAGTGATTACACATTCTCTTTGGAATTTACAAAGCGGTGTTCAGAAAAATCAGATCTTTTAAAAAAACAAATGGTCTCCAGGAACTGCAGGGCAGCAGGGTCTGCAAGCAGGGTTGTAAACCGTCAACTTCAAAAGAGGGGTTTTGGATAAGTCTGTGAATTAGTTACTCTTTTGCATTTCCATGAAAGCTGCCAGTCCTTGGCTACTTGGGTTTTTTAAACAAAACCGACCTGGTGGGTCTTTAAAGCTTGCAGCTTGACTTTCAAAAGGAAATTCCTTTAACTGCTACCAGCCCCCCCTTTCTGCCACAGGGTTAGTAGGAGACAATTTGTCATCCCAGGTGATTGCCATGGGGCCAACTGCTGACCCCGAAGCAGCTACTCGTGTGTTTCTGCGTTCATTCACTCAATTACACAAGAAATATATATTTGGTATTTGCCCCATTCTGCTATGGCACTCCAGCTTGGGCAACAGAGTGAGACTCCAACTCAAAAACAAAACAAAACAAAAAAATCAGCTTGAAAGTGCGATGCTTGGGTTTGGCAGAACCTATAGGGCATTTTACACTCAAGTCATCAAGTTGGCTTGGTTGTTGTGTAGACGTCACATGCCAGTGTCTGTAGGTCTTTTCTCATGGGCTGGTCAGATTCCCCAGAGAAGTTTCTTCCTATCTTTTCCCCAGAGGCTAAAAGTATGTGTGTGCATTCTGGGAGCTTCAGGGGAAAAGGCTGGTTGGGGGCTCCCTATCAATAGTCCCAGGCTCACTGTGTCCTCAGCTGTGTGGTACCTGGTGTCCCCTAGGCCTGAGACTCCCTGTCTTCTTGAGAGAATAAATGCCCAAACTGGCAGGAGGCCACAGTTGCTCAGGGATACAGAGTCAGGAGAGCTGCCAGGAGCCCAGCTGCTTCTTAAGCAGCCTTGAACTGATCTGTGCCTTATCTCCCCTCCGGCACTGCCAGAGGTGTACCTGGTGTCATTGCATGAGCCCTTTGAAGGAGCTCTGGACAAATTGGACTCTCAGCTTTCCACGCTGCCAGCTTCAGATCTGGATTTCTGGAGTGCGTAGTCTCTTATCACTCATGTGTCTGCTTTCCAATGGTTCTGATTGTGGTTTCCTCTCTGATCTTCAGAAGAGAAGGAAACTTACTCAGAAGCCAACAGCTGGAAGCCTTCAAATAGGTTGCTTTTGGCTGGGCATGGTGACTCACGCCTATAATCCCAGCACTTTGGGAGGTCAAGGTGAGAGGATTGCCTGAGCCCATCGATTCAGGACCAGCCTGGACAACTAGGCGAGACCTCGTCTCTACAGTAAATCAAAAAATTAGCCAGGCGTGGTGGTGCATGCCTGTGGTCCCAGCTACTTGGAAGACTGAGGCGGAAGGATCAACCAGCAGATCGAGGCTGCGGTAGCCGTGAGCATGCCACTGCACTCCAGCCTGGGCAAAAGAGTGAGACTCTGACTCAAAAAAACAAAAAACCCCAAGAAACTCCAAAGACCAAAGAGGTTGCTTTCATTACAGCGGTTGACAGAATCTCTATGTCCATGGACTTCAGGTGCTTCTGAGTAAGCAAGCCACTAGGGAAAACTCTGCAAAAACCAAAATAAGTGCTTACGAGTATACAAAAGTGGTGAACGTGGATTCATGCGTTTGAGAATAGATCAACAAAAGGGAAAGGATTTGGGCTACATCGTGATCTAGGAAGGAGACCGCAATTTCCCAGCGCTCTCTGCCAGTGCCACCGTGCTGGGGGCCTCTGTGTGGGCCCCTGTGCGTGGCTCTTGTTCCTTGCTTCAGGGCAGTGTAGTGGATCCGGGGGAGCTCTGAGCAGAGGAGAAGGAAGAGGGTCTGACCAGGGCAGGAGTGAGCGCTAGGGCTCTTCAGCCCGATATGAGGAGAGGTGGCCTGTCTCCACTTGAGACAGTGCCGGAGCTACTGGGAGGAGGGTTGCTTCTGGAACTGTAGCAGGTATGTTTAGCCCAAATAAAAGCAGTTTGCCATGGCTTGTCTGGAACATGGGAAACTATCACAAGTGGATCTTCTGGTCAGTGGTTTAATTCCACAGGGGTTTGGACAAATGAATGACAACCCCTCCCAATAAAAGAGAGAGGAGGGAGGCTTCTAAGAGGCACTGACACATACGTAACCTTTAACTTAGACGCTGCTCTTAGCAGAACTCTGAGCTGACTGGAGAGCGGGAAGCTTGATGTAGTGGGAAAAGCCTGATGTAAATTAAGAAGACCAGGATTCAAATCCTAACACCTCACTCGCTGCGAGACCTTGAGCAAGTTTCTAACCTTCCTGACCCTCTTATGGTTCTGCTGAAGGTTAAATAAGGCAGTTATATAACCTACATTAGGCTCAGTAAAGCAAAGGTTAGTCCAAGTCTTAACTGAATCAATCCGAGTCTGTATTTAACACTTGTTTACAAGCT